TCACTGTTGTGATTTGGAAATCTGTGTGTGTGGTTTCATTGTCACGCTTCGTCTAATTCTCCTTTATGTTGGAAACCTGTACTGGGAAATATGGGGGGGAAGGGGGCATCCCTGACTTCTGCTTCTGACTGATCCCCTAGTTTCCACATGCTCTTCTATACAGTGAGGAAAATAATGATTTGATCCCCTGCAGATTTTCTAAGTTTGCCCACTTACAATGAAATGAAAGGTCTCTAATTTTTATCATAGGAGTAATTTAAATGATAGAGACAGAATATCCACCACCAAAAATCCAGAATAAACGCATGATACAAATGTTATAAATTGAGTTGCAGTTCGGTGAGTAAAATAAGTATTTGATCCCCAAGAAAAACATGACTTAGTACTTGGTGGAGAAACCCTTGTTGGCAAGCACAGAGATAAGATGTTTCTTGTAGTTAGTTACCAGGTTTGCACACATCTCAGGAGGGATTTTGGTCCACTCTTCTTTACAGATCTTCTCTAAATCTTTTAAGGTTTCTTGGCTGCCGCTTGACAACTCGAAGTTTCAGCTCCCTCCATACATTTTCTATAGGATTAAGGTCTGGAGACTTGCTAGGCCACTCCATGACCTTTTAATGTGCTTCTCGAGCCACTGCTTTGTTCCCTTAGCAGTATGTTTTGGGTCATTGAAGATGGGTCATTCAGCATGACAGTGTCTGGCTATGGGAAGGAGGTTCTCATCCAAGATTTTACAATACATGGCCACGTCCATTAGCCCCTCAATGCGGCAAAGTCGGCCAGTACCTTTTAGGAGAGAAACAGCACCAAAGCATAAAGTTTCCACCTCCGTGCTGGACTCTAGGGATGGTGTTCTTAAGGTCATAGTCAGCATTTTTCTTCCTCCAAAAATGGCGAGTCGAGTTAATGCCAAAGAGCTCAATTTTGGTCTCATCTGACCGCAGCACTTTCTCCCAATCCTTCTCTGAATCATTTAGAAGATGTTCATTGGCAATAGGGATGCACCGATACACGCATCGGTATCGGCGGCAATACCGCCGATACTCGTACTCGTGCAAATACTCCGATACAAAAAACGAGGTACCTGTGCCGCGTCCGCCATCTTCAGGGACCCGAATCCGCCGCACACAGGAGTGGTATCGGTGCATCCCTAATTGGCAAACTTCAGACGTGCCTGTACATGGTCCTTCTTGAGGGGGACCTTGCGGGCGGTGCAGGATCTCAATCCATGGCGGTCTATTGTGTTACCAATGGTATGTTTGGCGACTGTGGTGCCAAGTGCCTTTGAGATCATTCACAAGCTCCTCCCATGTAGTTCTAGGCTGATCCCTCACTTTTCTCATGATCATCCTTACCCCATGAGGCGAAATCTTGCATGGAGCTCCAGACTGAGGGCGATTGATGGTTATTTTGTATTCCTTCCATTTGCGAACAATCGCTCCAACAAGTGTTTCCTTCTCACCAAGCTTCTTGCCGATAGTCTTGTAGCCCATTCCAGCCTTCTGCAGGTCTACAATCTTGTCCCTAACGTCCTTTGTCAGCTCTTTGGTCTTGCCCATGGTGGTGAGGTTTGAATGGAAGAAAGATTCTGTGGACAGGTGTCTTTTATATACATATCGAGTTGTTGTTGGAAGCACCTTCTTAAAGTGACAGGACTCATCTGTGTACCACATAGCCAGTCTGTGGGAGGGGCCAGAATTATTGTTGGTTGGTAGGGGATCAAATACTTATTTTACTCACTGAACTGCAACTCAATTTATAACATTTGGATTTTTGGTGTATATTCTGTCTCTATCATTTAAAATACACCTATGATATAAAATTATAGACCTTTCATTTCTTTGTAAGTGGGCAAACTTACAAAATCGGCAGGGGATCAAATCATTATTTTCCTCACTTCATGTTATAAAGAGGGACTTTATTTATGGGATTTATTGCAGCCGAAGGCAAGAGAGGCTGGAAGGGCCGGTCCGATAGCAAGCAACCTCTGGTTCAGGCAAGTATAACTTTTTTTTTTTTTAGCGCCTAGACAAAAACAAACAGTTAACCCGTGCAGTGGTGCTACCCCCCGCACTGCAAGGGTTAAGAGTTTTGCCTAGAGTTCTTTAATATAATAAACATACCCCCACACTTAATAAAAGTGTTTTGTCTTTAAATACAGGGATTTGTAAGATAAACAAAAGCGGGATCTCAGTCCGACTCTCTGAGATCAGTCTCTCTGCTTAACAGCAATAGCAGAGCTCGTCCACACGTGTCAGTTTATATCCAATTACCTCAGAGTGAGTTAAGTTCCCAAAAAACGGAGATTTGCATCCTCTACGACTTTTTGGACCTGAACGTGACTGATCGGAGGTAACGGATGTAAACAGGTGTGTCCTTTTATATCCAGACTGCCCATAGACCTAACATAGGTCTGTTTAGTTCAAACTGAACGGACATCGATGTCATATCTGTTCTGTACTGCAGCGATCAGCAAGGTGTCTGTGCAGCACAGAGTGGAGGGGAACCCATATGAAAGGGGCCTTAGAGATCGCTTCATGCTTTGCTTTTAGTAGTAAGTTCATCTTAAATGGCCATGGACCACTCTGCCCCCTTAGAGGATGAAAGAAAGACATTTTTATAGAAATTGCAGTCAGATTTGTGGAACAAATGTGGAGGAGATGATTCAGTTATATGTAAATGTACATGGCCGGTGTTCTAATTTTATTTCTGCTGCAAGAAGATGGACCAGAGAAGCCAGTAAGCATTAACTGTACCACATGATCATGGATTTGTATGTTAGAGCTTAGATCAATTGTTTTCAATCTACGGTAAATGCCACCCAAACAGATCCAAAACAAAACACATGATGCACATTAATGTGACACTAAACTAAAGTTAAATCTTAAAATGCACTAAAGTACATTAACAACAACAACGTATCTTATTTGTGTATCACTCGGCTGTAGATCCTCACATATCTCTGAATTGGGGTTGACACTTTCCTTCCTTCTGGAGGGGGGCTACTTTTGTTCCCCATGGTCCCTGTGTGTGTGTTATAAAGTAGTCACCACTCCAAGCTCACTCCTGTGATGGACTACAATCTCAGATTTAGTTTACTAATTTGTGTTGAGATTGTAGTCCATCCTGTCGGGTGAGCCTCGAGCGGTGACTACAATACAACACACACAGGGATCATGGGGAACAAAAGTAGCCCCCCTCCATAATGGACAGTGTCACCCCCAATTACATAGTTACATAGTATTTGAGGTTGAATAAAGACATATGTCCATCAAAAATATGATTTAACACCTGAGTTTAGTGTCACTTTAAGCCTTGAAAGTGTTGTAAATTGCATGCTATCATGCGTCTTTCTAGATGTCCATAGCAGTAACTGAGTCTGTAGCATATGACTAGAATCCAGTAAGTCAGTCAGTGTTATAGTTTCCTCTTTATTAACCGGCATTTCAAATAGTGAACAAGGCTCCTGTTACATAAATAAATCGGCCACGATCATGGCTTATCTCCGCTGTTGCATAGAGCTTACAGTGATTTGATTATGAAATATCCCTAGAAGGCGGCCATACTGTAAGAGGTAAACCAAAGGGGAATGCAGCATTATTGGCTCCCTCTGGAAGTAAGGCCTTTTGCAGCGACACAAATTATTGGTTCCTAGTAAACTGGGCAGAGAATGGCTTTGGCTCACAACATTCAGGTGCTGGGGGTGACAATCATGGCTGTATTTTAAAGAGAACCTGTTGACGCTAATGAATTTAAGAGTTCTGTTTTTATCTAAACCAATCACATTAGATTGTGTGGCCATTTCAGGTATGTCACGCTTTAAGTGCCACGCTTATCAGTAGTGACACTGGGCATTCCACAACGTGGTGGAGCCAACTTGAATAATTCATAGTTTGCAGCTATAGTGAGGAAGTATGGAGATTACCACTGCTGCCCATTTTCCCCTTTGAAGAATGCTACTTGCCTGGCTGTCATTCTGATCCAATTGCGGCAGTAATTTTTAAGTCTTTGACAAGGATTGGAGGATCCAACCTCAGCCTGACTCTCCTGGTGTGCCTGCTTGTTTCATGTCTGTGTCTCAAAGTTTTGAATCCACAGACAGCCAGGTAACTAGAGTACAGCAATGGCAGCACAGGTTTTCTTAAAGATACCATCGCTTTGCCCTGAGTGTCCGCATTTGATACTTCCCTTAGCCAGGCTCCCTTGCTGCTTGTTCCAATACCTCAGCGAACAAAAATATCCAGAGCATTTGACAGTACTCAGGTCTTGCAGCCAATTGCTAGGCCACAGCACGGTCACATGACCAGGAGAGCGGTACCACTGTTCCGCTTAGCTCCCACCCCCATCTGACAAGTGTTGGCTATGATAAAGAAAGAAGCTGCAGGGAGCACTGACAAGGTGAATTTTAGAGGTTCAAGAGGGGGGAAGGGGGCTTTACAAAGACACTGTGACCTTGTCCTGAATGGCCAAGGAAACAGTGTATACTAGGTTCCCAATGCTGACGATTTTTAAACTCTCACTATATAATTCTAAGCAAAGCCAAAATAAATGGTGCTGCAATATTGTAAACATTCATCAGGGACATTAAAGGCATATAGGTGAAGGGGGAACAGAAAAGGCATCTGAGTGTATGTACAACTAGTATTGCTCTTCCCATAGAAAGGGTGAAAACACACCAAAGCACCACTAGAGGGCGTCAAACCTGAGCGTGAATGGCTTCAACAGCTGGATTACAGGGAACCTGTACTGAGAGAATATATAGGTGAGCTCTGAAAGTGCAAATTGCCTGGATGTTGTGCAGATTCAGCGGTTCAATACAGTCACAGACCCAGGAGAGGTATGGAGATTAGAAAAGTCTGGAAAATGTCAGATGGTCTTATTCAGGGTCAGTGATTTAAGGTAATAATGGAAGCAGCAGAGTCTGCATGAGTGCCAGGCAACTAGCATTTTCATAAGGAGAAGGTGGCCTCTGTTTCCCCCATGACAGGCTGCCTGTCCTTTTGCTGCTATGAGGATCGTCAGATAGATCAGACAGCATTTTCTCTAAAGGCACCCGGGTCAGATACATAACAGGAAGGTTTCTTGCAGTCGGCATTCTATCTGGTTGGTTATTCTAGTTTGTTGGTTTTGGACTTCTGATCACATGATCGTGAATGTCATCCACTGAAAGGAAACAAGTAAAGTTCAGTTGCATGCATTACTGAAATCTTAAACTTCACCTTACCCAATTCCTCCCTCCTTCATCAACATGCTAATGAAATGAAGTCATAACTTACAAAGACCTATGGACTTTCCTGTGACGGTGCTGATTGGCCCAGAGCTGTCACATGCTTTTTTTTTATACCCAGAAGTACCTGCACTGACGGTGCTCAGGGGGAGTGAAGTAAATGTAAGGATATGCTGCTGGGGTGGGAGCAACCTGTTGCTTTGCCCTGAATAGGTAAGGCACATGTGTGCTTTAAGACTTTGAAAGACATGCAAATAGCATTTTTAGCAGTGGTCACCAAAACAAAAAGAAAGAGAATCTCCACAGTGGTAACATAGCAATACAACACTGTGTTGTGGAGTGTTGGACCTCTAGGTATAGTTGGGGTCCTGATTTGGTGAACTTCTGTGCTGGGAATAGGTTTACAGGCAGCTCTCTAGTATACAGAAGTCTCAGGTAAGAGCTTGTAGAGAGGAGAAGGCCAGTTCTCCATACATTGGAGGACACATGAAAACAGGTTTTAGGCTTTAGACACATTGTAGTAAAACCACCAGACCAAGCCAACATTTAACCTTATATTAAAATAATGCTGTCCATGGATGGGTAGTTATGTTCCTGAGAGTGATAACTGGGAACATATAAAGTATGTTCATCATCAGACATCATTTGATGGCTCACATGACTTAGTTCTTCCTGGGCATCACATCGCCTGTTGAATTAACCCTAAACAGGATCTACAGTATAGTCTAAAGGTGCCCATACACTGGCTGAATTTCAGCTTTTTTTTTATGTACCGGTCGAAATTCAGCCAGTGTATGGGGCTGTCGGCTCCCTTTCAGCCGGCATTCCTCAATCAGCTGACCAAAGGAGCCGGCTGGAAAATCTCTGTGCGATCAGAGCCGGCAGCCAATGAGCTGCCTACTCTGATCGGCGGCACCTTTCAGAATACAATGTAAACAGTGGAGATTCCTCGATTGACACGCTGTTTGTGCTGCTGGAGGCATTGCGTCAATTTTTTCCGTTTAGCCTGTGGGTTGAACGAAAGAAACTGACAGATGTATGGCCACTCAACCACGGTTCCATGTAACTCTAGGATTCCTCCAGAGGTTGCTAAAGGTTACTTAGGCAATTAGCTTCTACTTTTAATATAGGTAATGGATGGAGCTAATGATCCTTTTATCTATCTGTAAAGCATGCATTCTTCCCACTGACCCCCAATGTAAGGGACATTCTTCCCACTGACCCCCAATGTAAGGGACATTCTTCCCACTGACCCCCCAATGTAAGGGGCATTCTTCCCACTGACCCCCCAATGTAAGGGGCATTCTTCCCACTTACCCCCCAATGTAAGGATGTATTATCAGATTTGTTTGGCCGGCCTCGATGGCGATTGGCTGGGAAGCCGGATTCCTGACCAGTCAGCATCGAGTCGGCCAAACAGAATGGAGTCGTCTTCCCGGGCAATCAAGAAGCCGAGTGGTGGGTAATGACACAACACCTGGCTTCCCGATTGCCGGGGAAGCCGGCTCTATGCTACCGGAAGTACCGGTATCAGCGAGTATTGACGTATAAAAATCGGTACTCGATACCAAAAAACTGGTATTGGTGCATCACTACTTCACACCACTAATAGAATGGGGCTCTTCTGCAGTGACCATTAATATAAGGGGGCATTTTTTCCACTGACCACTAAAGGAACCGTACATTATTCACTGTCTGCATTACTGTTTGGCCAACATTACTGTTTGTTTGATATAGAGTGGATGACAAATATCCTACGTATGCCACTTTCCTGTTCTTTTTTTTTTTAATTCTTAAATCTTAACTTACTGGTCACACTAGGGTACTGTGAGCTGCAGATATAGTTATTTTTAGCAGGGGTTCCCTGAAAACTAAAAGTTCTTTCAAAGGTTCCGCCATGTTAAAAAGTTTGAGGCTGGTTTTGCTTATACTTACAGTATCCAAAGAGAGAGGTACAACTCCGCTGTTCTCTGTATCCATCTGCTTGAAGATTTCTGCAGATTGAAGAACATGATCAATATGAAGGTCTAGAGATGCTTTGTGGGGTCATATACATACAATACAAATAATAACATAAGACCAACAAAGAAATGCTGTCAGGGTTTTATCGTCAAACCCAACAATTATACAGAGTGTCTGCTTGCTGCAAACCACAAGCACATCTTCTGACTTTCGAAGACATCGTTATACTTTAAATGGCTCGGTGGCAATTTTCCATCAATTTCAACAAATTTTACAAATGAGAAAACTGAGCGAGCTACCACCTACGAGTCTGACCCACCACCAGAATTCAGTCACTTGTAAAGTCAAAACTGGGCAATAAATTGAAAGAAAATTAAAAAAAATTAAAGAAATTAAAAAGAAAACAAATGACTGCACTATCTTCTAAAGCAATCAGATTTTTCCACCGCATTCAATCAGGGCAATTGTGATCATCTTGTAGTCTTTCTAAACCATCATTTTATGTTTTTGATTGCTTTGCAAATTTGACAAAAATGAAATTGAAAGTTCTATAGCACCACTACTGAAAGGGAGGGGAAATCCAGAATTTTAGAGTTGGGGGTGCATCTTCCAAAGGAGACAGTGTTCCGAGTAGTGAATGGGATTTCATCTTGAAATGCATCATGCAGTAAAATATGTGTAAAAAAGTGTGAGTGCCCATTATACAAATAGACAGGAGAACCTCCCACTTATTCAGGAGCCACCGAAGGCTTCCCCATGGACAGCACACTTGTGCTATTGGCTTCAGGCCTCTTGGAGGTATTAAGATGTCCCTTCCTGCCTACTTACACCCCATTTATTTTTAACGCTGCTAGAAAAGTTATGTACAATCTGATCAACAATCGTATAGTCCAAATGAACCCTCATTATTGATCATTGTAATGCAATTAAGCTACAGATATAGCAATATATAGAAATACCCATTTACTGAAAGCACATAGGAATGTCGGACCTCTGCTCTCACACAAAGCAGTGGTCCAGCTCTCCAGCGGTCCGATATCCCCCCTCACTCTGCTCCAATTAATAACACTGTTGGTCAGAGTAGAGTTCTGGTGCACATGTCGAACTTCTGGAGAGTTGGCCGCTGCCTTGTGTGAGAGCTGCGGTCCGACTCTCCTATGTGCTGCATAGGAATAAACCATGAGGAAATGTGCATGTATCACAGAGATGTAATGAATATTTTGCCTAGACATAAATTGTAATTGACTTTCTACTTACTGAACATTATTTCCAGGCGGATGAGACATCTTACAAAATTGTCAAAGTCAATGGAGAGATTGTCATCAGCAAAGCGAGCCACAAGCAGCTGGTGGATTTGAGAATTCAGCTTAAATCCTGGAATGAAGAAGGTCAACAATGAGCTGGGATCGAGAGGCTGAACTACTCTATTAGAATCTGAGCAATGTGAAAGTAAGACAAGAAAGATGTTTTGTTTTTTTACGTTTCCATATAGAACAGAGAAGGGGTAGAACCTCTGTCAGGACATTATTCCCGATTTCTCCTTACAGCCTGCCCTAACGACAAAACAGGAAGTGAGGAAAAATCTCCTTGACAGGAACACAGGATACACAGGTCTATTCCTTCACTACGTTATACAAAACAAAGGTTTAACCAGTGAAAATGAGGTGATGGCCGAGATTGGGGAAAATCCCTCAATAGATTGAAATGAAAATTGCCTGTGTAGTTTAGCACTAAGGTTGTGGTCTGGTAAAGATGAAAATAATCTATTGAGTCATTGAATTATTAGGAGGGCTTTGTTCATATAGGGGAGAGTGAAAGTGTCTAGAGACAGCCTAGCCCAATGCAAGGTATACACAACAATCTGCACAGCTTGGCCACCTCCACCGCTCCAATGATCCAACAGAGTGGGGGGAGCATATAATTTCTTCTATGTGATTGGGCTTGGCCTGAGCACCTATGGGACGAACACTGGAGGGAAGTGGGGGTGTGGGGGGAATCTGGCAGTGCAAGGGAGCATAGATGGTACACATTGTCTCTTTAGGTATAATTTTTGGGCAAAAAAATGACAAAAGCAGAATTGCTCTACAGACCTCCACTTTTCACTGCCGTACCCTGTGCACTACCAGCCAGTGCTTTATTTAGAAATAGAGCCAGGTATCTTTGCTGTATGGCTGTGCATAGGTGACTGGTTGGTCCATTAAAATTAATGTAAACTCCATCTACCCAGGTAAGTGATCTTTCTATTTAATGATGTATGCCAAGAGTTCTGCACCCTACAAATACCCCCATCATCCTCCCTCTTCACTGCCTCACTTGTATTAACAGGCCATTAACGTGCTGACAATGACAAGCTCTTCCCAATGAGGGCTTTTCACTGATATATAACTACAGACATAGCTGTGTCTATGGTATGGCATGAAGCTACAGGCAAGGCTTTGTGAAGGGAATCCTATCTTAACTCTCAGGATGCAAGGACACATTAGACACCTTTCACTACAATTCACCATGGTATATGGAAATCCAAACCACTGAAATCTCATATAAAAACTTTTTACATTTTAATGCAATGCAAAATGTATTTAATCTGCAATTTTTCAATTTGCAGACTAAATATAAGCAATACTTTTAGATTCTGCCGTTCTGATTCCGGATTCTGTCCTCGTCCAGGAACTTCCTGCCATAGGGTGACAACGTTCTGTTTCCCAACTGGGCAACTGCGTTTGTACCCTGTCTAACACACTTCCTATAGAGACTACAATTGTCTGCCCCAACGCTCAATGCGCAGTCATGGTCAACTGTTGTCACCATCATCAAGAAGCCTGCCCTGAGAAATGCCATCCAGTCATTGCTGAAGTGCAAGTAGACAGAAAGTGGCTGCAAAGAGGCTCCAGGAGATCACCAGCACTAAGATATAACAAAGGATAATGAAAACATTTGTGATACATAGTGTTTTAGCAAATTAAATGTCATTCATTTGAGGTTTTTATCTTCTATGATTTCATTAACGGGAACAATATGGGATATTATTTGCTCTTTACAAAAGTGATCACTGTCCTATCGATATAACAAATTGTCAGCAATGTTCTGTTGGGACTTTATACACACACCCGTCTGTCTAATCTCCGGGTCCCCTCATACACATTTACCAACCTGCTGCTTCAAGGGCATTCCTCATCTCAGTGGTATTCATCGTTCCAGAGCGATCCACATCAATTTTGCGATAAATTTTCTAGAGCCAAGAAAAGACACATGAGTACCACTTCCAGCCAGAAGATGGCAGCACTCAACTTGCACATTTCTTTTGAATATTAAAGTGTATCTAACCCCAAGAGCAGAAAAGTAAAATATTGCAGTTTACAAGCAGGGATAAGCTTTGGGTTCGGACTCACCAATAGCTCGATGAACGCTTTGGCCAGTTCCCCCGCCCGCTGAAACTCCGCTTGTGTCCCAGCAACCAATGAGGTTGTGTGGCTCACACATCGTCTATGGTTGCTAGGATGTTAGCAGATGGGCCGCACAGCATCATTGGTTAGGATGCAGACGGGCTCACCAAAGCAACCTTTTTTTTTTTTCCTTCTCCTTTTACCGGCTGTGATGACAGGGTCACTTTAAGCACCTTCCCCAACATTGGTCCATTACATAGTTACATAGTATTTGAGGTTGAATAAAGACATATGTCCATCAAGTCCAACCTATTGTGTGTGTGTGTGTGTGTATGGTCCTATTGATGTGTAGTACGTACAGTATAGATCCCTGTGTGTTCTCAATCCTAAGAGTACCTGTACCCCTGTATATTGCAGTCTCTAAGGAAATCGTCCAGTTGCCTCTTGAATGATTCCACACTCTCAGCCGAAATCACAGCATGTGGCAGCGAGTTCCAGACCCTGACTGATCTACCGAGAAGAAACCCCTTCGCCCCTTGTGATTAAATTTTTTCTCCACCAATTTTTAGGGGTGGCCTCTGGTCCTTGTCATGGAGTTAATTGTAAAAAAGTTTGCTGCTGATGTCGCTATCCCCGGTGAACATTTAATACATGAAAATCATGCCGCCCCTTAACCTCCTTACGTTTCACATGCACATTTTATTGTGATCCTGAGCATCCTAACTTGCAGGAAAGTTCATTTAAAATACGTTCACAATTGACAATGGGGCTGTTTGCACTACAGCGTGACTCCTGAGGCACATTGGCCTTCTACTCATGAACATTAGTGTCATTTGGACACACTTTCCAGAGGTTGCAGAGACAGGTATCCATTAAAGTACCTTATCCCTGTAGCATAACTGTACTTAAAATCCAAAAATATTGCTGGCCTGTAGTTTCTAAACATCAAGCTGTAAAGACAGCAATGCAATGTGCACAGATCAACAGGAAATAATTGCTTTTTAATATTACCATACATTACATTCAATTTAAAAGTTTTAAAACACTAAAAAAACAACGAATTAGTCTATAAGCCTTACCTGGTATGTCTGCAGTTTAGCCCAGAGGATGTTGAATTCTTTTAATCCCAGTTTTCCTGTCCCATCAGACTGCAGTATTGTAATGAATTAAAGAAAGCAATTGAAGCAGAAGAAAATTTTTATAGGCTAATAGTATTCTCCTGTATGCCATGTGACTTAGTGTTCAGATCATCTTCTCTAAAGGTGCCCATACACTTTACAACCCTCGCAGGACTTTTGTCTTGCGAGGGTTGTAAAGTACTTAAAAAAACGTACGATCTGCCCATCTTGGACAGGCAGATCGTACTTGCGATCATTGCAAGCCCGCCCCCTTGAGGGGCGGGCTTGCGATGACTGCAATGAGGGGCGGGCTTGCGAGGACGGCAAACGGGCAGTGTGCGCGTGCGCACACCGGCCCGTTCGTCAGTTGTCGAACAAGCAGGCCACTAACTCGCCGAGAATCGTACGATTCCCGGTGGGTTTTCTAGCCTGCTGGTTCGACGGAAGACGTGCGACCGTACAGTAGAAACGGTCGCACGCCTTCCATACACTGCACGATTCTCGTACGATCGCGGGATTTCCCGCGATTCTCGTACGTGAATCGTGCAGTGTATGGGCACCTTTAAAGGGCAACAGGAATGTTTAATCACTCACCAATTCCTTTTCTGCTGGGCTGGGCAGAGGCGTTCTGATCATGAGGATCACCAAGGCCAATAATGAAACATTTGTAAGAGGGCAACTAAACCTACTAGGGTTGTATCTCAGTTGTGGGCAGACTGAGCTAATAAAGCAGCAGAGCCTTAAGGTGGTCATACACCTGCCGATTATCGTACGATAATCGCGGGAAATCCCACGATCGTACAATAATCGGCAGGTGTATGGAAGGCATGCGACCGTTTCTACTGTACGGTCGCAGGTCTTTTGTCTTAGGAGCATGTTCGAAAACCAGCCGAAAATCTTACGATTTTCGGCAGATTTGTGGCGTGCTCGTAAGAGAAAAGCAAGCGCACACTGCACGCTCAGCATTGGAATCGGAAGCCCTCCCCTGAGCGGGGTATGGCCATCTTTATAGTTATAAATAGGTTTTATAGGAATCCTGCCCTAGCATAGACGCAAACTTGAAACAAAAAAAAATCCAAAAGGGCGCAACACTAGGTGGGCTAACTGACCGGGTCGGGAGACCCAGGGAAAATGACAGGAGAATAGTGTGACAATGGGTGCACTTGGCGAAAAACCGGAGGATAGCTGAGGAAAAAGAATAAGCACTTACATTTCGTTTCACGGGACCAGAGGATGGACGGCCGGTGCAAAGGATCGGGTCATCCGTGGTATCTACCTGGAACTGGTGAGCCAGGGGATGTGCATCCACACGGGGAGGGGAGGCTGTGGGCGAGGAAGAAGAGGGGGGGAAAAAGAGCAACCACAGTTTTCGAGGAGTGATACCTCTTTTTCAAGCTCGAGAAGGAACATCCAGCTTGTGTGGAAAATCCTTCTCGAGCTTGAAAAAGAGGTATCACTCCTCGAAAACTGTGGTTGCTCTTTTTCCCCCCCTCTTCTTCCTCGCCCACAGCCTCCCCTCCCCGTGTGGATGCACATCCCCTGGCTCACCAGTTCCAGGTAGATACCACGGAAGACCCGATCCTTTGCACCGGCCGCCCATCCTCTGGTCCCGTGAAACGAAATGTAAGTGCTTATTCTTTTTCCTCAGCTATCCTCCGGTTTTTCGCCAAGTGCACCCATTGTCACACTATTCTCCTGTCATTTTCCCTGGGTCTCCCGACCCGGTCAGTTAGCCCACCTAGTGTTGCGCCCTTTTGGATTTTTTTTTGTTTCAAGTTTGCAGATACACAGGCACTCCTCCTGGGTTTCAGGGCTGCACACGATCTAGGGTCATACACTGTTCACCCCCTTATTATCAGTACAAGAGCGCTGTTTGTACGTTTTGTGTTTTTTTGCCCTAGCATAGACAACAACCTGCATTATGTAACGTAAAACTGGATCAAAATATATTTATCCTGTAAGAAGTCTGCAGTTTACATGACAGAAAGGATACATCCAGCAGATCCACGATGCTCTTACACGTCTCTAAAGTGAATCCATCAGATTTGATATCGGGTTCTGAATAGGACACAAAAGTGAAAAAATTATTGCAATTACTTATCACTTCATTTTGCTGAAGTCACATGTAACATTAGTATGTACTGTAGTTTACATGCTTTGATTTATTATAACCTGAAGAACCTACCATGCTTGTCTTAACCTGCTACTACTGAACATAAAGGTGACCAATCCTTCCTGTCTACAGACTTCCACAGCTGTCTTGTCCAGATTTAAAGTGCACCTGTGCCCAGGTTATGGACAATAAATGTTTAATATAGGTTGTATATACTCAATATACAAGCAGTAAATGAGCAGTAAAACAAGTCATCACTGACCTCTGTGGCTGCTTGTAGGGTGGAGAAATTCATCCTGAAAGATCACAACAAAGACTCTGGAATCAGCTTTCAATTGGTTTCTAGCAGCTTAGAAACACTTGCTGTGTGTTTACATTAGAGGGCTGGCAGGCTGACAAGTCTTACTTCCATTGAAAATAAAGGGGAGAAGATATTTAGATATTTCAGTGTCTCTGTTGTAACATGTGAAGATGACTTTCTCCACAATGCCTACAGCTACAGGATCATTGGGAATTTTTCTGTGTGGGCAGGAAATAAACTTGTACTGTACTCAGTGGCGTCACAAGGGGGGTGTGGCCTGCACCCGGGTGACACCATCACAGGGGTGGCACCAAAATTACAGTCATTTTGGTGTCACCCCCTCTAAAAAGTCGGGCACTTTGTCATGGACCAAGAGCCCGACAGTGTCAGGAGAGAGAAGGGGACCCGGCAGCATACCTCATCCGGCCCGGTGAACGTCCCCTCCTCCCCCTGCCAAGATGGCCACCGGCAGGCGTCAATCAGATGGCCGCGCACGCACAATGACGACACGGCGGGGTGTCACCCGGTCTGGAGTAATGTACTTGTGTTGGCAGGAAATGTAATGCAGCCACTGCATCTAAGGACTAGTAAGCTGCAATATTTAAAATAATGTTTGTTCTTGGGTTTAGATATACTTTAATATCCATAGGTGTGAAGCAGCACAGTGCCTCTGGGCTAAATATAGGCTTCTAAAATTCCTAAAAGCCATTTCTTAAAAGGAATCGGTCTTGAATCAGCTTTTGTAAGAATCTAACAGGGTTATTCACACAAGGGTGAAGAGTTTGGAGAAGGCAGGAGAAGTGAACAATCTAGGACAACATAGCTGATTTGGAAACATTCTCCAATTCAGCTCACTTTCCAGTTCAGCTATGTTGTCCTAGATTGTTCCCTTCTCTTTCCTTCTCCAAACTCTTCACCCTTTCGTGAATATACCCTCTAAATCTCCACAGTTCGGTTTTTGTAATAGTGCAACCTTTCCTCTCCGGGATAACAATGTGTGGAGTTTTTTGCTGGTATTCTCTCCCTGTCAGAGCAGACATGTCCAACCCTTGCCAAGCTTTGAGGCCGCCATGGAGGGTGACTTCACTCCTGCCTGTGCTCGGAGCTGATAACAGACACTCTGTGCACCTTAAAAGCCTTAGTTTAATTCATGTAACACATACAGCGCCAGCATTGCTATATATTGGGTGTCTTTTATCACTACTGAATTCAGGCAGGAGATAAGACAGGTTTACAGACACGTGTGCTCTGATAGGGAGAGAAAACAAGTAAATAAAAAAAACTTGCAAAGTCTGATAGGTAAGGTTGCACGATTATTTCAAGATTCAGAATTTCACAGATGCCCATTTATGACCGGTTCTGTATAAGCTAAAGCTCCATTATATACAGTATGTAACACAAATTGGTATACAAACTGATTTGCAGTTTAATGTTAACAAAATCCTTTTTCCATTTCAGTCTACAGGCAACTAAGATTTTCTAACACAAAAACAGCAAATACATACTATTTATTTTACTGATTTACTGTTCTTCATTTTTTAGGTGTGTCCAGTCTTCCATCACACAGAGTACAAGTGACACACAGAGCTGATACTCACGTCTGGAAATGACCTTCTGTAGAATTCCCTGCAGCTCGAATGCCGAGATTTCCTTATCCTGATGAGAGAAGATCAGACAGTCAGAATAAGGGAAAGAGATCCAATGGGCCGGCAACCCAAATACTCATATTTTAGCCCATGAGATATAGGGAGAAAGTAACCACACTAATTGTGGTCCTAGACAAGTCATCTGGCCTATGAACACTATTAAGGCCGCATAGGAGGACACTGGTGGGGCCACATTTATCAGTGTCTGAGAATTATCCATCACATGCTGCCAGTAGAGTATGGCAGAAAAGAGGAATCCGAATGGTTGCTAAAAGCAATATTGTCTAAAACCATAGGTGAGCCACATTGGGTAATCACAGGAAAAGACTCGGAGTCTAAGGCCCCGTTCACACTGAGCTATTTATCGCGTGGTAATTCCCTCTCCAATGCATCTCAATGGGGGTCTGTCTGTAGCTGTCGCGGGTCGTGCGTCGCTACAGCAGGACCCTTTTTGGAGAGGACTTTGCCGCGATTCTAGCTTGCTCAATGCAAGCATTTGCGGGATATCCTGCAAAATGCAAATCGTGCGACAAACGCGCGATTTGCGAATCGCTCAATGTGAATGGGGCCTAAACTGTTCAGCGAAGCTCATAGGTTACAAAACTTGGCAGAGTCTGTACCCAAAACTCTGACAGGTTCCTTAGGTTTAACCTATGAGCTGCATGCAGCAAACTCACACAGCAAACTATAGATTCACACTAGACAGAGAGAGAAAAAGGAAGCGAAAGAGAGGGAGTCTCTAAAGATCTTAAAGAACATTTGCCCAGTCTGAGCAGCATGACCATGTACAATCAGATTGCATAACCTTTATATGACCCTAGTAGATGTTCCCCAACTGAGCCTGCTTGGGGGAAGACTCAGCCCTCCCTCTATCAAAGGCAAAAACATTCAAGTTCACCCAATGCAAACTGGAAGTCTATAGAATGATCATTCATGAGAAGAAGGGTCATACTGACCCAACTGCTAAAGGAGAAGTGGAAAAACAGAGAAAAAGATACAAAGAAGTGAGAAGGAGAGTAAGACAGGGGGCAGGAACAGAAAGAAAGAAGTGACGGTTTGGAGGACAGAGGTAAGACGAGTTTGGATTAGACAGTTTAATAAAAGATTTCCATCAAAGCTTTAGGTTTTTGTTATAACACAAGAGGTCCTGTGCCATGTCTGGGTGGGAATGACATACAGCATTTTTATTGCACATGCAGGATGAAGCCAGTAGTTGGAAGCTGTGATAAGCTCAGCGAGGAGAGAGGAGTAAGAGAAATAACTTCTAGAACAGATCTAAAATGTATCAGTGAGACTAATCTGGAGAGAGTGTGATAAGACATTTATCCATAAAATATAGAATGTCTTACAGTAACACCAAATCTGTGGAAGTGATATCACGGCATCATGGGAAAAACTGCAACAACTGCAACCATTATGGTTCATCTGTGGCATCCCCCTGCAGGAAAGTCATGTGACTTCAGTGCTTTGGTAGTAAAGCCATAAAAGCAGTTGTCATAGTTTGGCCTCCTAGGGGAAATTTATACAATATAAAATGTTTTAATGACCAATGGCATCAATTAAACTACCTTATGGTCAAAAGTATGTGAACACATCTCCAAATTATAGGTGTTGCCAGTAAAGGGTGCTCAGAATGCTAAAAGAATACAAAAATACATTTTGGACAGTTGTGCTCTTTCAGCTTTGCGGAAAGCCCTCTTCTGTTCCTGCATGACTGTGCCCCCCCTATGACCAAAGCCAACTCCATAAAGACATGGCTTGATGAGTTTGGTGTTAAGGAACTCGGGTGACTTGCACAGAGCCCTGACCTCACCCCTCCTGAACACCTTTGCCATGAATAGGAATGACTATTTTTGCCAGGTCTTCTTGGTTACATCAGTACCTGACCTCGCAAATGCTCCTTTGGCTGAATGGGTACACATTACCCCAGACATATTCCATAATCTTGTGGAAAGTCTTCCAAAAAGTGTGCAGGCTGTTATGGCCATAGAGGGGCCAACTTTATATTAACACCCATAAATTTGGAATGCAATGTACAACATGCTCACATAGATGATGGTCCGCTGCCCTAGACTTTTGGCCATACAGTGCAGCTGCTATATGCAGAACCAAAAAAAGGAGACCCTCTGAGCTTCTACCTACTATTAATGTTTTGTTTAAAAAAGTGGCTTGTCTCGGCAGCTGGGCCTAGCAGGGTCTCTTCCTTTTCATATGAGCCTGGGGGGTATAGATTTTAGATTGCAAAGCAAATGCAGCATAAGGGAAGAGGGAACAACATGGGCAGGACAGTAGCTGGAAAGAGCACGCAGCGTTAGAAGCGACCATACCTCTGGTGAGATCTATGCCAATGGGAAAATCAAACCAGAACACAGTGTTAGTAGAGAAATGGTGGATGAAGCTACAGAATAAGGCCAGTTATTAGCTATGCAGATACATCCGCCTACAATTCTCTCACTAGTGTCCCTTGTGCATAAAGAAAATTTAGAACATTCTCAGTGTGTACATGTTTAAAGCTGAACTCCAGGCAAACAGCTAAAATACACCACTGAAATACATATCAGGGAGCTATTTTACCTGTCAAAGGATTTGTATTTCTCCCTATCCTTTACACAACCCTTCAGGGCAACACAGCCAGGTTGGTGACCTGACTTTTCAATGCTGCATTTAAGCAACACAGCCTTGTCAAACAGCACACATGGTTGGTTCCAAGTCCTGGTCCTCCCTCTCCTAATCTCAATGCTGCAGTACAAGGGGGTTACAGGAGGCAGATACCTGAAGTGAGATTCAGGTGCTGAGCACACTGCTTGCATTAAAAATACATTTAATCATCTTTAAATTCATAACTGGAGTAGTGGTGTATTTTCACATCTGCCTGAAGTTTAGCTTTAAAGCCATCAATGCAAAATATACCGCAGAGCAATTTTGCACATGACTTATAATTTTACATGCTTGCTGTACAGATCTATAGATTCTATAGATTTTTAGAGACAATCTGTAAATCAGAGAGTGTGACCAGTATCCCTGCTGAAATATGATGAATTTCACTAACAGCGAGGGACAGTATAGCACAATCATTGCAGAGGACTACAATCCAAAAAGCACCACCTGTATCTTTAAGTCGCAAATATGGCTTCCCCGATGAACATGCATAGTTGATGCTCTGTAGGAATGGATCGCATCATGTATGAGTGTCTTTAGGTGTGTTCAGAAGTTGTGTTAAAGAATACCTAGTCCACTCTTCCATCCTGTCTGTATGTACTAATTCTGACCCTATCCATATACATGACATATTAAAAAAAATGGACAAAAAAAAAATAAAAAAAATCATAGACATTGCCCTCATAACATGAAAACCTAAAAAGAATTCTGTGTATAAAAATGTGTATAGAACTCACCACACCGGCCAGCTGCAGAAAAAGCTTTCTAAAGTTTGGATCAATATGATCTTCACTGAGATCCGGCTAAAAATAGAAAAAAAAACAAATTATACTACAATCCAAATTATATCCAGGAAAAAATTAAAATAAACCTGTAATGTAAACACCTCATTGTGACTATACTGCTCCTTTAAATTCTTAAATACTACAACCGGCTCTGATGTGCATAACTTTTTTTGCAGAGATCCATGATGTGGACTCCTTGCATTGATCACATGACCAAATGCCTAGGAACTGGCCTCATGATTAGTGATGGGCTCGGGCGTGTTCGCAGTTCCACATGCCGAGCCCGCCAGGAAGCTGACAGCGAGTAGCGCCAATCACAGGTACTGAGACATGTTCCCGGTCCGCAGCTGCACAGATCGGGAAATGTCTCAGTGCCTCCGATTGGCGCTGCTCGCTGTCAGCTTCCTGACGGGCTCGGCACATGGAGCTGCGAACACGCCCGAGCCCATCACTACTTATGATCCTGCTGAAGAGCAGAACAAGTCTTGGTCTAGGCTCCTTCTGCATTGATCACAATAACAGTGCTCTGGCATTTGGTCACATTAGTAATATTGGAGCACAGACTTGGTAAGAATATCAGGAGCAAGGCATTCAAGTGTTATTATTACAGGTAATTATATAGCACCAACAATTAATGCAGCATTTTACATGCGCATTCACATCAGTCCCTACCCTCAAGGAGCTTATAATCTAAGGTCCCTATTGTACAGCCATTCAGGGCAAATTTAGAGAGGAGCCAATTAACCTTCCAGCATGTGTTAGGAGTGTGGGAGGAAACCGGAGTACCCGGAGGAAACCCACACAAGCACAGGGAGAACATGCAAACTCCTTGCAGATAGTGACCTGACTGGGACTCAGACCAGGACCCCCAGTGAGGCAAGGTAGAAGTGCTACCTGCTAAGCCACCGTGTTGCACAGCAATAATCATAGATAGCAGTAGGAAGTAAAAATGGCAGTGGTGCCTTTGGTTGGCTAACTGAAGAAATTTTGAGCTGCAAGCTCTCAAAAACACTCATGGAGCAATCAGTCATGTTAAAGAGGTGAGTGACAAAGCAGTATACATTGTAGACAAATGCTGCCCATATATAGGTATGTCCCCAAGAATGGTGGTCAGGGGGTTCCCTGCCCATCCTTAAACAAGCTACTGGAATGCTGGGACCAGCACAATATTCAGAGGGCAAAAATGTTGTTTTATAACACAGGTTATATTGATCTTATTCAAAGTAAAGGACTGTCCCCACTGTCAATGGGATGGAACACTTCCACCTGCCTGAGGCTCTAATGATCACCTCTAGAGCAGGGGTAGCCAACTCCAGCCCCTCCAGCTGTCGTGGAACTACAAGTTCCATGAGACAGTGCAAAACTGGCAGCCACAGGCAAGACTCCCAGAGGCAAAGACATCATGGCAATTTTTAGTTAAAGCACATCTGGAGGGCCGGAGCTGCCCACCCCTGCTCTAGAGGAGTACGGAACGGCCTGGATGTCACAAGTTGTCTATAGCCGTCCTTTTATTTACACCCTTAAACTGCTATTAAAAACTTCAGAAAAGCAAGTTATGAAAATGATAACATTTATAGGTAGTGGCCCTTTACATAGGCATGAGATAAATGAACTGAATAACAGTCGGAGCAATGATGCCACAACCTCCCTGCCTGTGCAGACAGGGCTCCATAGAGTTCAATAGGAAAGAAAAAGTCTGAAAGTGAACAGCTCCTGCTGTGCTCTCTCATGGTGCTCTGTGACACCAAAGAAGATACGAATTACCATTTCAATGTTCATACAAAATCATAATATGATTTTTTAAAGTTATAAAAGGAAATCTTACCTCTTCAATGTTGGCCTCATTTTTATCATCAACAACCCTGAAATTATTTTAAAACATAATCAGTTAGGAGAGGGAAATTATACATGAAACTACATGTCTAATGGGGATTGGTTTCCGGAGGGATAAAGACCAAAGTTCTCACGCTTAAACAAGGGGAAGTGCCGTGATGTCACTGCCCCTCCTCCAATCAGAGAATGCCTTGTATTCACTGATCAAATTACTAGGCGTTTGCTGAATGTCCAATGTGCCAAGTGAGTGACCCAATGTGTTTAAAACAGCAGAGGGGAAGTCGCTCAGTACAGTGTCTGTACAGGACCCAGAAGATAGATGTGGGTACAATCCCTGTGGCCGTACCAGGGCCTAACAATTAACACATTTTATATGGTCCCTTTGGTTTGTTAAATATATTATTGAAAGTGTTTTGGTATATCTGTTTGATAAATGCAAAAAATAAATAAATTGTTGATTTGCCAGAAATCCAGTGAGCTGATAACAGTGTAGTAGAAAGCAATGGAAGTTATCAGTTACTTTGTTCCCAGCTATCTCTGAGGTCTACAGAACCCCACACCCTATGTTGTGGCAAAGAGGAGGGGGTGCTCTGTAGTCCTGTCTAAGGTTGACAATGTTACTTCTCTACAGATACAGTACAGTGAGCGTTGCCACCCTATGACAGGAAGTGTGTTACTGGCAGCATCACCAAGTGAAAAGAAAGGCCACAAAAACCTAAAAAAACAAAACCTAATGCAGCCACCACATCTAGGAACTGGTAAGCTGCAATATAGTACATTTATGGTCTTGAATTTACACACAGCTGACTGGATCAGATTTAAGTGGACATACCCTTTAAAACCCAACAGGTCACGCTGGCATGTGCATAACTGAAATTATATAAAACAGGCAGAATTTATTTTATGGAATTGGCTACTTATCATCTGATAGCATGCCCAGAACAAAATGGAGGTAACGTCTGAGTGTAGTGACAGGTCCTCTTTAAACGGATCACAGATCTTGTGCTCAGTATCTGAATCTGGTTCTTCTGCAGTATGGACAAACCCCATCTGCAGGTCAGGCCATTGTCCTGAGATACTTACTGGGACTCTGCATTCTTCTCCGAGAAAACCCGCACACAGAAATCTCCTACTTTATTGGGCTCAAAGGTCGATGGTACAATGATATATTCTCCTGCAGGCAGCCGGAACCTGTTCAGAACCTCTCGAAGATTTATGAAGGTGTCGGAGCGATCTTTGGCCTTGTTCCGAAGGAAGAAATCTCTAGGCAGGTGAACATTGGTCTGTCCTTGAAGCTGTGAAAAAAGCAGAACATCCACCAAAAATGTGGCTTTAGATGAACTTCAAAGTGTATCTAAAAACAAAACTAGGGGTTAGAACCATCGCCCAGGTTTTTATTGTTGCCAGTGTCCCCCCTGGAAAGATTAATCTTCAAATTTTTCCTGGTGACCACTGTCGCTGGAACAGGGAGTGATGGAAAATTGACAGTTGTCCCAGAACACAGGAGGAAATTGTCCAATGGGATCACCTGCCCCAGTGACAACTGTCAAAGAGGGAATACACCTTACTTTGCTGAGATTTCCTTTCTCTTCCTGTTATGTCTCTGTGTATCATCTTATCCATCCTTTCTTAAAAATGTGTCTATAGATACACTAAAGGCTCTTTTTATAACCAATTCGTAGAGCCATTCCCCCTACGAATCTTTCTGAATGTTTGTTTTGTGACACAAGACACAAATATCAGTAAAGGATGGACACCGGCACTCCAAAGCAAGTTCAGTACGTGTTTATTAACATAGTGAACTAATTAGTTTAGAGTGTTTTACTTGCAACTAGTACGTTAATAAACACGTACTGAACTTGCTTTGGAGTGCCGGTGTCCATCCTTTACTGATATTTTGTCAGAAAGCCACCCGCTGACACCTGCTGCACCCACCCTCCATAATTGGAGCAGCGGCTCTGAGTGCGATGGGTACACAGACTGTAACAAGACACAAAAATGAATGTTCTTAGATATAATTTGGTTTTCAGGTCACCTGTATCTAGGCGGGTAATACTGTATTATGACCACTAGATGGAGCCTAGGAGCAAAATACATAAATTCATATTTCCTATGCTCCTCAGCTCCATCTAGTGGACACAATGCAGTATTACATTATATTCAACCTGAAAAGAAAATGTATCTGAGAATGTTTGGTTTTGTGTGTATTTGCACAATACAAATGTTCAGAAAGATTCGTAGGGCGATTGGCTCTGCAAGTTGGTTATAAATAGAACCCTTAGTTAATATATAAAAAGCAGCAGTGCATTGACCTCCAACAACCAGATACATGTTCCCCACCACTGTTCTCATAGCTAGAGGTGGGCTGTGTGTGCAATCTACAGACAGGTGGGCGGTGTCTTATCAGAAAGGCCCATGGAGAACGACAGGCAACTCCTTTGTAGACCCGCTCCCTTGTCTGCAGCTTGCAGACGCAGCCTGGCAGTGGAGCACTGACAGGGGAAGCTGTTGCACAGAACATACAGTGCCGAGATTGAAGGATAAAGTCAGGTTTTACTTTACAGGTTTACAAAGCATCCCAATGCGGTTTTTGTATTGTTACGGATATTACTTAAAATGTAACTTAAACCAAAACTTTTTTAAAGTTTTGGATAGAGTGGAGAGGAATTAAAACGCCTGCCATGTTTTTATTGATGTCTGTGTCCCCTGTTCACTCTATTTGTCCTGCAAACTCCATTGACCATTATCGCAGAAAGATTTTTGGGTTGTCACCAGACCAGGAATAGATGGGAAATCTTCCAATGGGGACACTAGTAGTGCTGACCACCGGGGATTTCTTCTCACTGTGGTGGCTACAGATGGCATAAAAAGCTGACAGGGGTTATAACCATCCTTTACTCTATCCACAAAAAAAAAAAGTTTTGGCTACTATTCTACTTTAAAGAAAAATTAGCCCTTGCAGTGGCTACCCCTGCACTGCAAGGGTTAACTGCTCGTTTTTCCCTATGGGACTGAATAAAGAAGATATACTCACATGAGCCTCGATTCTGAGGCAGAGACCTCTCACCTCCCCCTCTATGCTCCAACGAAGGAAAGTCCCTCGGCGTCCTCCTCACGTCTAATACACTGAATTTGAAGTGATAATGTCATGGATCCTTAGGCTGACGGAGCCGAGGGGAGAACCGGTCTAGCAGCCAGGCGGAAACAAGGTTTTGGTGAATATATCATTTTTATTTTAGCCTCTAGACCAGTGGTTCTCAACCTGTGTAACCTCAGGACCCACATTTGTACTCGGTCATTAAGTCACGACCTAAGTTGCACTGCAATGGAATGTATGGAACGTATGGATGGAGCTCCCTCGCTGCCATAACCACAGCCCACCCCACCTCAAGTCGACACTCGGCACGGGCAGCATATTTTGAATGGTTGTTCGGTGTGAGAGAGGACAATGCTGCGCTAGGGGGAGGCTGAGGAACCTCTCACCTAGAAAAGTGAAAGTCATGCGGTGACCCACTGTACACGGGGTCGCGACCCACTTTTGGGTTACGACCCACCAGTTGAGAACCAAGGCTCTAGACCAAAATGAATCGTTATCCCTTGCAGTGTATGGGTAGCCCCCCAGCAAGGGTTAACTTTTAGTTTTCCCGGACTTCTTTATTAGTTCTGACTGCTCTGAGGGCCTGGACACGCTTGTCCATTTTCTTGCAGTAAAATGCATATGTTCTACCACAATATCATGTATTTCACATTTCAAATTCCACTCATTTACAGTATGCGCAGCTTCACCTTGGGAAGTCTCCCTCACTTTGCAAAATGCATTAAAAAACACATACAGTGCAAAATATAGAAATATATGTGCATACGCACCTGCATTAAAGTGTATGAATAATGTACATTGTGTAAGTGTGAACAGGGTGATGAACGGTGAGATTGGTGGACATGCTTTGCTGCACGATGCACAACATATTAACTAACTTATTAGATCATATAAGACATCATATGGTAACCCGGAGGAGGTCATCGGTCAATCCATCTCTTCCAATAGGTCAAAAACACAGATTCAGGACAAGACAACTTACCTCCAGGATCTAACAGAGGAAGTGATGCTGTATGATGTCATATATCTCCACTCACCTTCCCAAATAATAAATCTGACTTTAATCTATCAGAAGATGATACAACATACCTGGGGTGGGACCTGAAGACAGAAATGATAAAAAAGGGGATTATTATAGGTCAATAACAATGTATAAAATCTACATATACTGCATGTCAGGGAAATCTCGGGTCACTGAATTGCAGCAAAACATACAAATTAATTCCATATACGAGAAATGTTTAACCTGCCCAATGATTTGTGATTTATGAATGAGGGAGACCCACCGCATAGATGGTGAAGCCAATGGTGTGCATGTCCTCCCCCATCTTCCGAGCCTTCCTCCGGTTCTTCTGTATCAGACCCACAAGGAACGTGCAGCCTTCCTCTCCATCGTCTGGATCATCATCCGCCTCGTTCAGCTTTATTGAGTACTGCGGGTTCATCCAGAAGGTGTCTGCAGAGAGGAGCATCACGTAGTTATTTACTATGCTGCTGCTCTAATGCTACAGGACGAAGTGTAAGTGAAATCTGTGACCAGGTTATCGACATTCAAGTAATTGTGTCTTAACAAGCAGGAAATGAGCTTTAAAACAAGCCCCTAGTAATCTTTGTAGCTGCAGGCACTGTGGAGCAGTTCATTACCAACATTTACAGCAGAAATACTGAAGTTCTAGAAGTCATTCTCAGCAGCTCAGTTCCTCTGTTACCCCCTCCCAGCAGTGACTGAGCAGTTCAGGTCCCCCTATTACCCCCTCCCAGCAGGGATGGGGCAGTTCAGCTTCCACTGCTATCCCCTCACTGCAGATCAGCTCCCACTGATACTACCTCACCGTAGTGTCTGAGCAGCTCAGCTCTCCCTGCTACCCCCTCCCAGCAGGGACGAAGTAGCTCAGCTCTCCCTGCTACCCCCTCCCCACAATGACTGAACAGCTCAGCTTCCCTGCCATCCCCTCCCAGCAGTGACTGAGCAGTTTAGCTCCCACTGCTATCCTCTCACCAGAGTGACTGAACAGCTCAGCTCTCCCTGCTACCCCCTCCCAGCAGTGACAGAGCAACTCTGCTCCCCCTTCCCCCTAGTGACTGAGCAGGTCAGCTCTTCCTGCTTCTCCTTCCAGCAATGACAGAGCAGCTCAGCTCCCCCTTCCCCCTAGTGGCTGAGCAGCTCAGCTCTTCCTGCTCCCCCTTCCAGCAGTGACCCAAGCAGCTTGATTGCAATTAAAGTGACATTGATTTCGGTCACTGCTGGAGCTTTGTAAACACTAACAAGCCCGCGGAGAGCCCAGGCAGAGCTGGACATAGAGTTTGTACTATATGTGAGCGCACAAGCTCTGTTCAGTGGAAACCTCGTGTCCCACCTGGGTAATTGCGACACCCTCCGGCGGTGGATCCTCTCCTCCATGTCCCGTCCATCTTCACCAGACTCCACTTCTTGTATTTGTCTGAGCTCAGGGTATCCGGGGTGAGGTTACAGATCTCCACCCTCGAAAACTGTCTCAAGAAATCATTGTATGACATATATCTTATGTACCGTACAATTTCATATCACATACATATTCCTACACAGAAACATTCTGCTGCAGAGGAGCTTATACTCTAATGTCCTAATGCAGTCAGATTTACATGCTATGGTCATGCATTATCCACACGCCTCCCTATAATCCCTCTAGATCATGTTCCAGAATTATAATTTCTTTTACCTTGTTTCTGTTCAGAGAAATAACTTTTAGGACTCCCTGTGACATCATCACCAGGCTTGTATAATTCTTATACCAGCAGCTGGAAGGTCAGTTCTTATTGATAGGGGAACGCCGCCCAGAACTACCTCTCCCAAGAACCTGTTTCTACACACATTGTGTCATGTGATGTCTTATTTTGGTGCATCACATGACAAATAAGCGATTATGTATATAGTTTATTTGGCGCACAGTAACAATGCGTCATTGTCTGGCACCATCTTCTTCTGGGCCCACTAATGCAAACCTCCATTGTGCCAAATATTGACGGACTCCTTTTCTGATCCACCATTTATTTGGCGCAGATTGTGAGACTTGTTGTCCAAAGTTTTTATTTTACAGTTGCTGCCAGTCGTATCTTTCACACTGAACTATTATTTGGCGCATCCAAAAAATGATCTGGTGCAATTTTTCTGGGCTATATAATAACCTATGCATGTGGAGAGGTACGAAGAAGAAAGGGGGGATTAGGTGAAGTTCTGTAGTCCAGCAGCTAGGACTGACAACTGTCAGGACTTTATCACAGCAGAGACATTGAGGGGGATTGATCAAAACTGGAGGAGACAGAATCTGGAGCAGTTGACCATGTTAACCAATCAGCTTCTCTCTTCGGTCTGTTCTGATAAGTTTTGAAAATGGAAGATAGAAACTGATTGGATGCCATGGGCAACTGCTCCAGATTCTGCCTGCTTTCATTATTATTATTTTTTTTTAACTTTTGGGGGTGCTTCTGGGAAATGTTAGGCTTCCCATTCATTCACAAACTGGAGATAGTAAATATTTACTATCAACCAATTATGAATGGAAGGAAGCCTCTGTATTGTGCTGCTTCTCCCCATTTAGAAATGAGTGAACAGGAAGTGATGTAAAGCACTTCCTGTTCATTCATAACTGGGGACACCTAGTACTATGTGTCCCCAGTTATTTACAAACACTAGAGTGATCAACTGATCACTCCAGCGTTGTCTCTGCACAGAGGATCAGTAAATATTACTGATATTTACCGATCCTCCACTCTGCCATCTTGAGCAATGAAGCGGACAGGGGGGGGGTGGCTAGAGACCAGCACTGTTACTTCAGGATGGCTGAGCAGTGAGGAGAGAAAGAGCTGTCAAGATACTGGCCGAGCGGCTCTCATTCTCCTCACCGCTACCGCTAGGCCATCCTGAATGACAGCTCCCTCCTCCGCCCCTCCTGCAGCGCTCCATTTCTCATCAGATCCCGGCTGCTTCTGCCCATACAGGCAGGGGAGAGCAGCAGGGATCCAAGGAGAAGCTTGAGCCTGTGCCGCCCCTCTTCCCCACTGCCGAGTCTTTGCCGCCTGGCGCCCCTGTTGCCATGGTCGCCATGGCAACAGGGGTAATGGGCCACAGCCAGGCTGGCACCGGCTGCCCCCTCTCAGCTGTGCCTGAAGCGAGTGCCTCACTCGCCCCATGCAAGCTACAGCCCTGCCCATGGCAGCCAATCAGCTTCTTTCTTCAGTTTGGATTTGAAAATGAAAGAGAGAAGCTGATTGGTTGCCATGCACAGCTGCTCCAGTTTTGATATATTCACCTCCTTTTGTTTTCGTTGTCTGCATTAATAGGACAATCAGCAGATGGCAATGTACAGAAGAATCTGATTTATATATCTCATTAGCTTTGCTCATTAAAAAGGGTCTGGTCAATTACTACAATGTTAATGAAGTCCAGATTACCAGACCCTCAAAGAAAACCTGTAATGTCATCGGGAGAGGCATGCAGACATCAGCTGGCCTAATTGACAAGTCAATGCAAAGCAATGGGAACAAGGACCAATGTGTAAATATTCCATTAGGGATCAAAAGAAGTGGGCAGCACTGGGGGTCCCGGTTCGAATCCTGGTCAGGACACTATCTGCAAGGAATTTGCATGTTCTCCCTGTGCTTGCTCCCGTTTCCTCCCACACTCCAAAAACATGCTGGAAGGTTAATTGGCTCCTGTCTAAAATCGTACTTGTGTGCATGTGCAATAGGGACCTTAGATTGTAAGCTCCTTGAGGGCAGGGAAAGCACTGCATAAATTGGCGGCACTATATAAATACCTGTAGTAATAATAATAATAATAATAATAATAATAATAAAAAGGTACCAATAACAAGAAAGATGGAGGATGCCGATTTAGAAGTTTAAAGTGTATTTCTACTTTTGCAGCCAAATTAGGATAACGCCTACTTTATATTTGTGACATGTTCCCAATCACATAACATAACGGCTTATTTTATCTTTCAGACCATGTTTCATGCTACACCCTAAATATGGGAGTAAGATCACAAAAAGGTGGAATTTCCCTTTAAGAAAATATTTTAAAACTGCTGCTTCAATTTTTAAGTGTTTTTTACTTGTTTAAATCATACCTGGCTCCCCCCCCCCCCCATGTAATGTTAAGGAGGGGGCTGTGGGAAGTTATGTTTACTCTAATTAACCCTGTCTGTACTTTACTGGCAGATCTCATTATCAGTTGTAAACTAGATGTGAACACTGTCTCCCCTAACAAAGGGTTAAAGATCTAGAAGCATTGTATGTTGATGAGAGGAAGCTGAGTCTGTCACTCAGTTTGTTCCTCTATTTTCATACTGCTCAGAGTAGCCTGGGATCTGCACAAAGACCTTCTCCAAAGAAACATCCGAAAGGCAAGAAATGCACTTTCATCTAATTGAAATTCTGACTGCATCTGTGAAACATCAGGGCCACTTTAGTGATATTTTAGGTAGAATCAAATTGAAGGGTTATCAGGGTTTACATACACACATATCCAGAGAGACGGGGATTGGAGTGCCTATCTCAGAGTTCATCATGACAGTATTCTGTTATACCACAATTGTGACTGATAAAGAAAAACAGCAAAGCATATACCCCTATATTGACTAAAAACAGCAAAGCATATACCCCTATATTGACTAAAAACAGCAAAGCATATACCCCTATATTGACTAAAAACAGCAAAGCATATACCCCTATATTGACTAAAAACAGCAAAGCATATACCCCTATATTGACTAAAAACAGCAAAGCATATACCCCTATATTGACTAAAAACAGCAAAGCATATACCCCTATATTGACTAAAAACAGCAAAGCATATACCCCTATATTGACTAAAAACAGCAAAGCATATACCCCTATATTGACTAAAAACAATAAAGCATATACTCCTATATTGACTAAGTTGTAAAACAATATTGAAAGCTGAAATCCAGGTGGATATAAAGAAAACACCAAGCAATGCAGATATGTACGGTATTCATTTAAAAACATGAAATGCAACTAACATAATACGTAGGTGCGTTTGAGAATCCTGTAATCCCTTCTACAGCAGAGACTCAAGAGAGGGAGGGGAGCTAATTAGATGTGCTGCTTATGTTACCCGTAGGGAAATGCAGACATGGTGAGAGCAGAGTGATGAGCTCATAAGTGCGCTGCTGCTCCATCACTGTTCAATCACATGCTGGGGGCACAGAGGTGACCTGACTGTATTGTTAAACTGCAGCAGAGAAAAGTGAGGTCGACAGCCCAACTGTGCTTTTTGAGGTTTACACAGCTCTACCAGAACTAGTTGGCCAGAATGAATATTCCCTAGGCAGGTAAACAGCTCCCAAATATGTAATCCAAGTTAATATTTAGCTGTTTGCCTGGAGTGAAGCTTTAAGGATATACACTAACTATATGTAATGTAGCATGTACTCCATCCATATGTAATGTTGTAGATCATTGCCTCAGATCAAGTCACAGCGACTTACCAGAATTCACCGTCATCACATCGCTTAATCAGCCTGTCCCTCTCACTGGGATCCACGGAATTCCACTCACTGGAGCTGCAGGTGAGAAATAAGAAAAATCAGAATTTAGCAATAGGCACTTTCATATGATACAAAGGACCCCGGTCCCCCAAGCAGATGTGGCTTCTAACCTCCAGAGAATCAGAGGTATGTGGCCAAGGCTTTTTACATGGTGGCTGGATATGTACTATAGCGACAATGCTGCTGGGTAATGATAGTAATTGCTGCTAATGTCCGAGATGGCCGTGGAGAATGGAGCACAACATGCCTAGTACAGGTTGGGGGTTTGTTTGGATTTTCATTTATATGGCAATTCAACTTAAAAACTGCATTCAACTACTGCATGTTTCCCTTAGCAATGTATCCTGGTAAGGGTTAATAAGATAGTAGCCAAGATGGGAAGCAATGCCATAGCACCAGCTGTACATGTTTTTGATGTTAGTGGGGGATTGTAGAAGGGGAGGCAGAGATAACAGCTGCATTTGGTATGCTGTGCAGCACATTACATACTCCCAAACTCTGAACTCTATACACGATGTCGTACATTATATACTCTTAGGCGTTGCACTCTATACACAGCGTTGCACTTCTGACTCCAGCACCCTATATGCTATATAGCATTTTAAATACTCCTGACCAGAACTTATAAATTCTAGCTGTGGAGGACAATGGGGGAGGAGCAGTTTAGGGAAGGTATAGGTTGGTGACATTAGTGCTGTGCTGGCTCTATGTACAGTGAAGTGCAGTATCTCCTCTCAGCAGCAGCCCACATTAATAATAGCCGTGTCCTTCTATCCATGCTCACTTGTCACTCCAAGCTCCCGTCCACTCCACTTCTCCCCATGGATTCCGGACTCTGATGAGCTTTTCCAGACCTCCTCTGTACTGAACCTGTTGAAATGAAATGAGCTTAATAATTGATCATTAAGCAATAAGGCTACTTATGAAAAAGGTGGGCATCACCTCGAGAGGTATTAGCCTGCCCCGGAACAAGTTGCTGTGATACTCGGTCACTTATTTGATAAATGAACTGAACACTCCATACTTTCCTCTCCTACATGGAACAATTTGGAAACCGTACATGTACCAATGCCACCAATCAGCCC